ATGGAAATGACTCTCGTTTTCCTTCTTCTGTGTTTAATGTGGAGGGAGAATATCAGCGGCTGTTTTATGAGTTCTGAAGCCTTTTATAATTACTTCAGTTACTACTTAATAATTAGACAACAAAATTTGGGAAAGAGCTGGGCCCCAGAACAGTGAGTAAATCTGTTTTGTCTAAAGGCAATTTTAAAAGCATGCATTACTAAAGGAGTGATTGAGAGGCTTAGACACACCATCCACACACAGTACTCACATAAAACATTCATAAACAACATACAGAAGACACACTCACATAATGTACACACAACTTACATAGCACACACACAACACATACATATAATCCTGACCAAGGGCATCAGTGGGGTCAGTAGGGTTGATGTTACCCAGTGAGGTAACTCATGGTGTCACCCCTCCACTACTGACCTCCTCCCACACCAAACCATATAGAATCCCTAATAATGGTTGGTATCGTAGACTAATGTGTGACAAATATCATCTTAGCATAATATCTGTTAATTTAACTAATGTTATTTGTTGTGTTGTTGTTGTTGTTGTTATGTGCTATCGAGTCGGTTCCGACCCATAGCGACCCTGTATAGGGTTTCCGAGGGTGTAAATCTTTACGGGAGTAGAAAGCCTCATCTTTCTCCCGCGGAGCAGCTGGTAGTTTCGAACCACTGACCTTAAGGTTCGCAGCCCGATTCGTAACCACTACGCTATTAAATAAGTTCCGATTCATAGAATTAAACACAATTGTTGTAGCCCGTATGTCAATCCGTCTGGTTGAGGGTCTTCCTCTTTTTCACTGACCTACCAATATACCAAGTATGATGAATGATTATGTGACTACTATCAGCATAATTGTATTGTAAAATTTACATTGGATTACAACATGATTGGTTACAACATTATTAGTAACTGATAATTTGTCTTCTTTTAATTTGTCTCCTTTTCCATTAATCATTACACTTAATTCTAAAAATATAGTTAGTGATATAGGTTCACAAATGCTAATATTGTAGCAAAGGAACCAGAAAATTTGACAATATCAGTGCCTATAAAATCACTGGCAGCAACAGAAAAAAACAATGTATGCCTGTAGCAATAGAATATGAAACTAATCTATTCAAAGTGTCATTGTAGTTGAGTAATAATGATAGTTTTTACTGGAGTACATTAGAAGGTTCAAAAAGTGAATTCGTCTCCACTAGCCTGAGACCAAAAGAACTGCATGGTGCCCAGCTACTGACCACTCTGATTAGATCACAATTGAAGGTCCTGGACAGAGTGGGAGAAGAATGTAGTACAAAATTCAAATTCATAACAAAGACCAGACTTACTGGTGAGAACCCTGAAACTGGCCCTTAGACACCCTTCAAACCTGGAGCCAAATCTGGATATCCCCTTCAGCCAGACAAAAGCAGAGCCCTGGACTAGCACTGTGGGTTAAATGCACTGGACTGCAAAGTCAGTTTGAACCACAAGATTGGTGGTTCAAGCTCACCAGCTGCTCCTCAGAAACTCTATACAGGGTCGCTATGAATCAACGAAAGTTAACAACATAAAGTAAACAAACAACACAAGTGAAGAACAATTAACCATAAGAGACCCAAAGGGCAGCATTCCAAGCAAAAAAAGGGCAGGATTTGTACAAAAACAAAAAGGTCAGAAGGAAGGAAGGAAGGGGCAGGAAAGAAGGACTAATAGAAATAGGGAATCTACCAAGAAAGTGGGGAAACTGATTTTACATTGAGGGAATTTCCATTAATGTCATGAAGCAAAATGTATAAACTGTTGAATGGGGAAATAAAAGTAAATCGTTGCTGTTGTTAAGTGCCATCCAATAGACTACAACTCATAGGGACCCTAGGTGTAACAAAAGGAAACACAGCCTGGTCCTGTGCCATCCTCACAACTGTTATGTTTGTACCCATTACTGCAGCCACTTGGACAATCTATCTCATTGAGGGTCTTCCTCTTTTCTGCTGACCCTCTACTTTCCTAAGCATGCCCTTTTCCAGGGAGTGGCCTCTCCTGATAACATGTCCAACATACAGGACAAAGTCTTACCATCCTTTTTTCCAAGGAGCATTCTGGCTGCACTTCTTCCAAGACACATTGAAAATCCATTATCCTTTCAATATTCTTTGCCAACATCGTAATTCAAATTCATCAATTCTCTTCTTATTCATTGCCCAACTTTCACATGTATATAAGGCTATTGAAAATACCTCTTCATTTCCAGGAAGGAAGTTTTTGTCATCTGCATATCTCAGGTTATTAATGAGTCTCCCTCCAATCCTGATGCCACTTTCTTCTTTATATAATCCAGATCCTCAAAGTATTTGTTCAGCATACAGATTGAATAAGTATGATGAAAGGATACAACCCTGATGCACACCTTTCCTGATTTTAAACCATGTAGTATCCCTTTGTTCTGTTCTAATGATTGCCTTTTGGTCTATGTATAGGTTCCACATGAGCACAATAAAGTGTTCCGGAATTCCCATTCTTCTCAATGTTATCAATAGTTTGTTATAATCCACACAGTCAAATACATTTTGCCTAGTCAATAAAACACAAGTAATAAAATACAAGTAAGCATCTTTCTGGTATTCTCTGATTTCAGCCAACATCTACCTGATATCAGCTTCTGAACCAGGCATGAATTTCTGGCAGCTCACTGTGAATATACTGCTACATCTGATTTTGAATTATCCTCAGCAAATTTTTATTTACATGAGATATTAATAAAATTGATAATTTCTGTATTCTGTTAACTCACCTATTTTTTGGCTTGGGCACAGATATGACTTTTCCAGTAGCTAGCTATCTCCAAATTTCTTGGCATAGACCAGTGAATGTTTACAGCACTCCATCAGTTTGTTGGAACATTTCAATTGGTATTCCCTCAATTGCTGGAGCCTTGTTTTTCGCTAATGCCTCCAGTGAATCTTGGATTTCTTCCTTCAATACCTTTGGTTCTAAAGCATATGGTACCTCCTGAAATTATTGAATGCCGACCAATGCTTTTTGCTACAGTGATTCTGTATTCTTTCCATCTTCTTTGAACACTTCTGGCATCATACTATGTTCTGCCCATTGATTCTGACAATATTGTAACCTGAGGCTTGACTTTTTTTTTTTTTTTTTTTTTTCAGTTTTTTTTAGCTGGAGAAATGCTGACTATGTACTTCCTGTTTGGTTTCCAAACTCCAAGTCTTTGTGCATTTCAATATACTACTTTAACTTGTCTTCTCAAGCTGTCCTTTGAAATTTTGTTTTCAGCCCTTTTACTTCATCATTTATTCTATTTGCTTTAAGCTATAGAAGCAAGTTCCAAAGTTTCTTCTGACACCCATTTTGATCTTTTCTTTCTTTCCTGTATTTTCAGTGACCTTCTTCTTTATTTGTGTATAATGTTCTTGATGTCATCCTACAACTCCACTGGTCTTTGATCATCCGTGTCTAATGCAACAAATCTATTCTTGAGATAATCTCTAAATTCAGGTGGGATACATTCAAGGTTATAATTTGGCTCTCGTGGACTTTTAAAAATTTTCTTCACCTTCAGCCTTAACTTGCATATGGCAACTGATGTCTGTTTCACAGTTGGCCCATGACCTTGTTTTGACTGTCAGTGTTGAATGTCTCCATTGTCTCTTCCTACAGATGTAGTCAATTTGATTTCTGTGCATTCCATCTGACACAGTCCAGGTGTATAGCTACTGTTTATGTTATTGCAAAAAGGCATTTGCAACAAATAAATAATTGGTCTTGCAATCTCCAGCATCATTTCTATCATTAAGGCCACATTTTTCAATGACTGATCCTTCTTCTTTGCTTACAGCTCTTACATTCTAATCATCAGAAATTATCAATGCATCTTGATTGAATGTTTGATTAACATCAGATGAAGAAGTTGGTAGAATTCTCCAGTTTCATCATCACTGGCTTTGGTGGTTAGTGCATAAATTTGAATAAGAGTGGTATTAACTGATTTTCCTTGTAGGCACAAAAATACTATCGTATCACAGACAACATTGTATTTCAAGATGGATCTTGAAATTTTCTTTTTGTCCATTAATTTATCATTCCTGAAATAGTAAACCACATGATTGTCTGATTCAAAATGGCAATACCAATCCATTTCAGCTTACTAATGCCTATGATTGGAATCCTGGTTTGGCATTGTAGGATATGCACTAGATTGCTAACTACAAGGTTAGCAGTTCAAACCCACCAGCCACTCCTCAGAAACCCAATGCAGAGTAGCTTTGAGTGGGAATCCACTCAGCAGCATTTCACAACAACAACAAGGCTTAGGCTGTAAACCTTTATGTGTTCTATTTCATTTTTGAAGATTTGTACTTTATACATTCCACAGCCCAATTATTAATGGATGTTTGCAACTGTTCTCATTTTGAGTCATGTCCCATGACCTCTGTCCATTCATGTCATCAAGGTTGACTCTACTTTAAGGAGGCAGCTCTTCCTCAGTTGTATTTTGAATCTTTCAACTCTGAGGGAGTCATCTTCCAACAGTACATAAGAAAATGTTCCACTTGTATTCATAAGGTTTTCAGTGGCTAATCCCTCAGAAGTGGGGAGCCTATTTCTTCTTTCTCGTCTTTTCTTAGTCTGGAAGCTCTACTGACACCTCCACTGTGTGTGATCCTGCTGGTATGTGAACACCAGTGGCATAACATACAGTATCACAGCAACATGCAAACCACCACAGTACAACCAACTGACTTGATGTGTAGGGAAAAAGTAAATTAGCTCAGAATTTTAGCCGTGTAGACATATTGATACAAGTAAATTATACTTAAAAAACATGTTTTTGTTCTTAGAACTAACAGTTATAGTTTTATTTACAAAACAACAATTTCTTCTGAAACACTGAACAAACATTTCATAGATAATCTTATGGGTTAAAACAATTCTGACAATGTCACCTGATGTGGTCCTTCCCTTCCCCACTATCAGACAGACAAACTTACTGTCGGTAATTGTAGGCGATGTCTGCAAACTGCTTCCTTCTTGCTCTGTACACAGGGTCTTTAAAACCCTAGGAGAAAAGAGACACTTGATAGCCAATGGGTTTTTAAAGGAAAGAAGAAATATGTATATGAACACATGCAATGGAAGTCAGTAGCACTGACATTGCGTGTCTCTGTCCCTTGACTTCCATACCGCAGTTGTTGTTGTTGTTGTTAAGTGCTGTCGAGTCGATTCTGACCCATAGTGACCCTGTACAGGGTTTTCAAGGCTGTAAATCTTTACGGAAGCAGACCGCCTCATCTTTCTCCCGTGGAACCGCTGGTAGTTTCGAACTGCTGACCTTAAGGTTCACAGCCTGATTCATAACCATTATGCTACCAGAGTTCCTATACCCCAGGTAGGACTTTCAAAACTCAGCTGCCATTTAGACACCTCTCGCTCACAGTAAATCCCATGTATGTCAGAGTAGAGTGGGCTCCATGGGATTTTCAACGACTGATATTTTCTATTGAGGCATCTCCGAGTGAACTTGAATCTCTAATTTTTCAGTTAGCAGCCAAGTCAGTTAACCATTCACATTATCCATTCACATTACCATTCAGGGATTCCAAGTACTTTTGTATCCAGAAAATAAAATATCTGCTTAACTGGGAGCAATGTCTCCCACCACCAATTAAGACCCACTGATATTCAGTTGATTTTGACTCACAGAGACTCTGTATAGGGTTTCCAAAAACTATAAATCTTTGCAGGAGCAAACAGTCTCATCTTTCTTTGGTGGAACAGTTGGTGGGTTTGAACTGAATCAGTGACCTTTCAGTTAGCAGCCCATGCCTAACCCACAGTGGCACCATGACTCCCTAGCTATTAAAAGTGACATATTATTAGCAATACCTCCAATTCACGGTGAACCCCTCTGTCATGGGATTCCAAAGTAGAAATGGTATAAAGGAGTATACTGGTCCTATAGAAATTGAATCCACAGAATTTCTAACTTACAAACATGTTAAATTAGATAGTTGTCTATGATGAAGATATGCGATGCCTGCTAAAATCTTGACCAACAGTGTGTGTCTAGCAATGTCTCCTAACTTTTTAATTTCAATTCTCTTTCCCTTTAGTGTGTGGGTGTGGGTGTGGGTGTAGACAGACAAGCAGGTGTATGCTTATGGCTATTGAATTTGTTTAAAATGCCATTTATTTTTAAATATAGAGCATGCCTACCATCTGCCAACTAGGAATTTATTTATATTCTCACAATAAACTTGTCAGGTAGACAAGTATGATTGCTTACTTTTTTTCCCCTAAAGAATAAACATTGGCTTAGAGAAGTAGAGCACAGCAAAGGCAGACCAATGCCCTTTTCCCTGTATCTCAATAGCTGTTGACCTTTACATCAATGGCAGCTCAAGAAGACAAAGTCAGGTATTATAATGAAATGTGCAAAGAACTGGAGTTAGAAAACCAAAAGGGAAGAATATTCTCAGCATTTCTCAAGCTGAAAGAACTGAAGAAAAAAATCCAAGCCTTGACTTGCAATACTGATGGAACCTATAGGTGAAATAAGGAGCCCTGGTAGCATAGTGGTTACAAATAGGGCTGCAAACCCTAAGGTCAGCAGTTCAAAACTACCAGCTGTTCCACAGGAGACAGATGAGGCTTTCTGCTCCCGTAAAGATTTATAGCCTCAGAAACCCTGTACAAGGTCACTATGAGTCAGAACCGACTCCACGGCACATAACCACATAACCACCACCATAGGTGAAATACCAGAGTCCTGGTGTGGTGCTATAGGAAAAGCACTGGATGGCTAGCCTTATGGTTGGTAGTTCAAATCCCTCAGCCATTCCTTAGAAAGCCTATACAGGGTTGCTCTGAATCTGATACAACTCAACAACACAAAAATAACAACATTGACAAAATATTAAATGATGCAGGAAGCATCAAAAGAAGATGGGAGAAATACACAGAGTCATTATACTAAAAGAATTGGTCAATATTTATTTCAAGAAGTAGCATATGATCAAGAGCCAATGACACTGAAGGAAGACGTCAAAGCTGCACTGAAGGCACTGGTGAAAAACAAGGCTCCAGGAATTAATTAATGGACTAGAAATAGAAATGTTTCTGCAAACTGATGCAGTCACTGGAAGTGCTCACTCATCTATGCCAAGAAATATGGAAGACAGAAAACTGGCCAACATATTGGAAAGATACATATTTGTGCCCATTCTAAAGAAATGTGACCCAATAGAATGTGGAGATCATTGAACATATCATTAATCTCACATGCAAGCAAAATTTTGCAGAAGACAACCCAAAATGTTTTCAGCACTATTTCGACAGGGAATTGTCAGAAATTTAATCTGGATTCAGAAGAGAATATGGTGTACTAGACATTACTAATGTCACATGGCTCTTGGTAAGAATCAGAGAACACCAGAATATTTACTTGTACTTTATTGACTACACAAAGGCATTCAACTGTGGATCATAGCAAACTATGGATAATTGCAAAGAATGGGTATTCCAGAACACTTCATTGTGTTCATGTGGAACCCATACATAAACCAAGAGGCAGTTACTCAAAGAGAACACGGGGATACTAATGGTTTAAAAATCAGGAAAGGTGTGAGTCAAGGCTGTATCCATCCATCATACTTAATCAATCTGTATACTGAGCAAATAATCTGAGAAGCTGAATTGTATGAAGAAGAGTGTGGCATCAGGATTGGAGGAAGACTTCTTAACAACCTGAGATACGCAGATGACACAACCTTGCTTGATGGAAGCAAAGAGGACTTGAAATATTGGTGAAAATCAAAGACTACAGCCTTCAATATGGATTGAATCTCAATATAAAGAACATAAAAATCTTCATTAGTGGACCAATAAATAACTCAAGATAAATGGAGACAAGATTGAAGTTGTCAAAATTTCATTTTGCTTGGATCCACTATCAAGACTCATAAAATCAGCAGTCAAGTATTAGGGAAATTTGCTACAAAAGACTTTAGTAATGTATTAAAAGGCAAAGACATCAATTAGGGGACTAAGGTGTACATGACCTAAGCCATGGTATTTTCAATCACCTCATGCATTAGAAAGTTCAACCAAGAATAAGCAAGATGGTAGATTACCCATGTATTTGAATTATGGTGTTGGAGAAGAATGTTGAAAGTACCATGGACTGCCAGAAGAACAAACAAATCTATCTTGGAAGAAGTATAGCCAGAATTCTTTTTAGAAGCAATGATGGCCAGACTTCATCTCTCATTCTTTTGACAATTGTCAAGAGGGACCAATCCCTGGAGAAACGCATCATACTTGAAAAAGTGGAGGGTTAGCGAAAAAGAACACTCCCAACAATACGGATTGATACAGTGGCAGCAATGATGGGCTCAAGCATGACAATTGTGAGGATGATGCAGGACTGGAAGTATTTTGTTCTGTGGTGCATAGGGTTGCTAAGAGTTGAGACCTACTCAGTGACACCTAACAGCAACAACAACAACATCTCTTAGCTAGTTGAGAATCCTTACTAATACCTAGAAAAATGACCATTGTCATCGCTTCTGAGTCTAACCCATCAGCAGAAATTATACCATGTGCCTTTCAGAGTTGGGAGGCACACGCCTAAGTTAGTGGTGATCCTAACTGATAAAAAGGACATTTTCCTAGAAAGCTGATTGCTATCCAAATTTTGGTAAGACCAGAGACTGCCATGATCACTATAGAGGTGTGTTTTGTTCCCTCCAAGCATTTTCATGTAAGCCAAGTTTCAAGCTCACCAGTCACTCGGAAACCCTATACAGGGTCGGAACCAACTGGATGGTGCTTAACAACAACAAGAACAAGAAGGCCTCTGTCATTCAGTTGGTCATTTCTCTGCCCCACCAGCCCTCCAGTCCAAGAAGTTAATAAGTTGAAAACAAGACTTGCATCATGGAGCTTAACATCTAAAAGTAGATTCTATGTGGTTTTTAGATATATTGCTTTTTGTTTATTAATATAATTGGTTGGGTCTTCCTGGTTTTTGTGTGGTGTTTTTTCTTCTCCGTTTGTTTAAATCGAAGTCTATCAGTACTTCCGAAGAACTAGGGTTAAGTGTATACAGTGCAAATGTATCTCAGAAACCATAGCATAAAGTCTGGCATATGCTGGATCACACACACATGCTTGTTGAAAGAAGGGAGGAAGGGAAAGAATGATAAAGTTAGAGGAAGGGAGGAAAGGGGAAAAAGTTTCTTACAATAAATATATATATACATATTTTAAATCAATAAATCCAAATGTCACAAACCAAAATTGTAAAGTTACCATACATTTGTTATTCTAAGCCTAAATACAGTTAAAATAAGTGATTGTTCCAGTTAGAAAAGGTTCTGTGACCTGGTTATTGCAAAGTCTAACCTGGGGTGCTGAAGGGTTTGAACCGTTATCTATGTGTAGGAAAGCCTTGGAATATGCTAGCTCAATACTGATGCTAGGTCTTTCTACTGGTAAAAACAAGTTGTTTTGAGATGATGAAGTAAGAAACATATGCAGTATTTAATTTTTTTTTCAAGTAGTGCTAATGCACCCTTTTAGAAACCTGACTATTGAGGTAATCAAGGAATATTTATTTTTACCCATCTCTATATATGTTGTTGTGGAGTCCTGGTGTGGCACTGTGGGTTAATGCGCCAGACTACAAAGCCATTTGAACTGCAAAGTTGGTGGTTCAAGCTAACCAGCTGCTTCTCGGAAACCCTATACAGGGTCGCTATGGGTTGGAACCGACTCGATGGCACTTATAAGTGCCGTAGAGTCATCTATGACTCATAATGACTGTGCATAGGGTCTCTGAGGAGCAGTTGATGAGCTTGAACCACCGACCTTGTAATCTAGCACATTAACCCACAGCACCACACCAGGACTCCATCAAATTAATTTAATGATTGGCTGTAGTGAAAAACTGATTGTAAAAGTTATCCTTACCTGGTGGTAATTGAGAGCCACCGAGTTGGTTCCAACTGATATCAACCCTGTGTAGGGTTTCCAAGACTTTAAGTCTTTATGGGAGCA